TGTGAAAGAGTGGCGACAACATGTATTCTAAATGTCGATTGATCTATCACATATGTTGTATACTAAAATACTTGATTTTTGATATTAAATTGTGCATATTAGGATTAATTCTTGATTTTAAGTTGTCTTTTCTCTATTTACTATATGAACCATAATGATGCTATTTGATGATTGTTTTGACACTTCCAAACCCTAATTGATATTTTGAGTTTTAATTATCTTTTCTTCCTTTTTAATTATCTTTTTAAAATTTATTTAATCTTGTGTCTTTTATTTTCAGATTTTGTGAGGCCAAATTTGGAATCAACAAGCAAAGACTAAGTCAACATGTTTGAAAATTCAAGAGCAAGTGGAAGAGGCTTATGTGGCGTCACTTTCCAGAATTAATTAAAGCTAAGTAGGTGTGGATTTTCAAAAATTAATTATAGAGACTAATTAAATAAAAGCCAAGGAGCATGCATAGGAAGCATGGATGACATATCACCAAGGCTTGAAGGAGCATGTTGGGCGTGAACTTAGGATCAGAATTGAGGAAGCTTAGGTGGCGACTGATTAGAAGCTGAATGAGTCAAATTCCTTACAGCTTAATCATATGGTCCATGCTCCCATGCCCAGCTCATTTTAAGCTCCATATTTATATCAATTTCAGCTAAATTAATTTGATTTTCTAGCTGGATATTTAGCATTTTAGATCTGGAACTTTGGTTTTATCACCTTCTAGCATTATTTTTATCACCCTCACTCACATTTCCCACACATACATAAGCCTTATTTTCATTTTACAGCCTCATAATTCAAATCCCATTCTCTCTCTTTAGCTCATTCTGTCTCAATTCTCTCATCTTCTTCTTCATCATATTTCGACCTCCCTTCATCTCTTTCATTCTAGATTAGATTTCTGCTTCATCCAGGTCCAGAACTCGTCCATCATCATCATCAATTCCAGATCTCACTTCTTCGTCTTCCATTATTCAATCATCTCATCCAAACCTTTTTCTTCTCCCTTCAGATTTTGTTCATTCATCTTCTTCATCCAGCCAGAAATTTCATCTAATCCAAAAGACTTCCAGATTCGATTTCCAGCTTCATATGTTCATCCATGGAGGCTTCTCAAGTTCAAGATCTCATCCAAGTCAAGGAGAGGAGCATGAGTGGCTAAACAACATTGAGCTCCAAGGAAGATGATTTAGCAATTTGAGTTTTCCATATTTGTATTCTTCATTTGCTTTCTCAATTTCATAGTTTCTTCTTATTTCTTTGAGAATTTTTAAATCTTGTAATCTGACTAGATTTTTGACTTGTTATTCCAATTCATGTTTAGATGAGATTATAAATATTGAATTGAAGTTCTAATGTTATGTTCAGTTTGGAATTCATGAATTGACTTGAATGTTCTTAAGTTGTTCATGTGTTCTTGTTGATTCTTATTCAAAGTTCATCCTATGCTTGAGTTAGATTCATATGAGTTATATGTATTTAGCTTAAGTTGTTTTTTCTGCCACTCATTTGGTCGCAAACTCGTGTGGTATGTGAACAAGGCTGAACATGAAATTAAACTTTAATTCACCTAACTTAAATCCTTCAATGTTCATTAAGTTCAATGATGCACTACACTTGAAGGCTTTTGAGTGTTCTATCTTAGGTTAATTGAGATTGTTTGTGTTAATTCAAATATGAAATTCAATGACAATTGCTAAGGATTCTTACTTGGGCTCTCCATTATACTCATTCATTTCATTTCATTAAAGACAGAAAAATTACAAACACTAATTCTTGCATTTATACTTAGTTTGATCTCTTGAACACTCTTGTAATTTGCTAGTATTTGAACTGAGAATTTGTATGGATTGCTCTTTAAGGAGATGACCTAAAATGCTTATTGCTACATTCAGTTTTATTTGATGACCTTAACCGATTGGGGTTTCATCATGGATCATGCAAAATGCACGCAATTCTCAGTGAGTGCAATTAGTTTAGGAGCTAGCTAGATTGCTATATGATTTTTTAGGATTGGATTTGTAATTTAGGAATTAAATTTGTGAATATTTTTAGCAAAAGCAATAAGTTTTGTGATTGAATTTATCTATGTATACAAGTTCTTTTAATTTTGAAATGATGTTGGTTATCAATGCTTATTGAATTAATTGATGGCTGGGGCTAGTTTTGGTTTATAATTGTTCTCATTGCAGGGGGTTATTTAAAAAGTAGGCTACACATTGAAAAAAAAAAAAAATCACATATTTGATGGTCATGCATATAACTGTCAAATATTCTAAGAAAATTTTTACCAGAACACATTTTGGTTGGACATATTTGACAACTAAATAACTGTCATGTAGTAATGATATTATTAAGTGATAGGTACACATTTGATAGTTATTAATTGTCATATATGGAGGAAAATAATGGTCAAATATGCCTTATTTGTGGTAGTGAGATGTGGATCCACAAATGTCATTCAAACATCCTAGGCCTCCTTAACTAGCAATACTCATCTCCGTATGCAGAAATATAAACTAGTCATACTATCAATCAAAAATCTCAATAATTGCAAATCCAAATTTAGTCAATAGAAATTCGAGTAAAAGAGCCCTAGGTGATAATATACAAATCATATGCATAAAATGGAGCAAAAATATAATTACTTTATCATTTATGCATTAAGTGTCTTTCCTGACAATCCACCCTTAGAACCTGCACTTAAAAATATTAAATCACGAGACAAGACAAATTCTCAATAACTAACATAATTAATTTGAAAAGTTTACAAATATGGAAAACAAGATGGTGAAGGACAGATAATATATGCACATATATATAGTTAATGTAGCAAACAATTCCAAACAAATATCCAGACGCAAAAAGCATTATAACCTAAACTATTAACTTTATAACCTTCTTTGCTTCTGATCGAACCCAATACCACTCGAGAGACGTAACATAGCCAAAGGTCCCAAAGCTATCCTTGGGTCCTTGTGCAATTTGTTCCTAAGTTCAATTTGTTATAACCTTCAGGAACATAATAATTTTTTAATCTTATTAACTCAAAGGATCTTAATTCAGCGGTTGTTAAATGTCACTGCAAAACACATGCATGCATGCATGGACAATTTTGCTGGCTACGCTAGAAAATATTCAACAGAACAAAATATTTAATAGAAGAACAAAAGAACAAATAGTATTTAAAACCCAATCATTGTTCTGACCTAATTGATGCTACTAATTTTAAATACCAGAAAATACTTTGAGCTCAGAAGAGTCTTGATCCATTCACACAACATCACCTGGAATCTTTTGTATAATGATGCTCCCTAGAGCAACCCTATTGGACGACCCATCCCATGAATATAAACAACACAATTACACTCCTATTTATCCTTTTCATGTCCCAAAAACAATAAAAACTTTATATACATCACGCCAAATTAAAGCTTGTTTCACTTGCATGGAGCTGTTGCAGGACAAACAAAAATAAATTATATATACTCCCTCTTATTTATATTATAAGGTGCTTTCATTATTTTATTAGAATTAAAAAATGACAGTTAATTCAATTATTAAATTATCTAAAAATAAAAAAGTATTTTAATTTTACCCCTATTAAAAATAGGAAGAGAGATATAAAATATATGATGAGCCCTAAAATTAAATTTACAATAAGCATAAAATTATAAAATAATAATAAATTATCTTCTATGTGCCTTATATTAAGGACTGAAATTTTTTTTTAAAAAGTGCTTTATAATGAGGACAGGAAGGACTATATAAATACACACACATATTGAGAAAATGACATTTAAGGATCTTCGAATTAAGAATATATTATCTCTAGTTAAGGATTTTGAAATTCTAAAATTTCAAAAAAGTCTATAGTTTTAACTAGAATTTAAATTTTTTAGAGTTAATTATTTCAGTACTCATCTTTTATATAGTTTCAATACTCATCTTTAACATTTTCGATATTCAATTTTTTTAATTTTTAGTAGTCATTTTAAATACATTTTCAATACCCATCGGTATTCACAAACACTTTGGCAAAAAAGGTACAAGATTGTAGAGGTTTTATGTAATTGTACAGAGGCAATCTCAATAATCACAAAAGGTAACCATGATTATTATCCTTTTCAGAGTATTGTCTATTCCATAAATTTAATTCTTTTTAGAAATTGGATAATGAACTTTAACTTTTTGTAGAGGAATGATAATAGAATGGCTAACTATCTTGCTAAGTTAGCTCATAAATTACCCAATAACATATCCCACCCATTCATTGAATAGGGGTGGTTCGTCTCTGCTTTTTTTTAGTCTCTTGTAATGTTTTCACATTTTATTGAATGAGTATAGTATGTTTGTATTAAAAAAAAAAGTATTCACAAACACTTATCTCTAACTATTTTTCAAATTGAAACTATATGAGTATTGAAAACATCTAAGGTGACAATTGAAAATAAAAAATAAAAAATTGAGTATTAAAAATACTGACAAGAACTATTAAAAATATTGAAAATGATTATTTAAAATATGGAGGATGGGTAAAAAAATTTAATAATTTCATTTAAGGATCATAATCTTCTTCTAAAATTTTATGATTTCAAGGATACTTTGCTATAATATAATTAATGTATTTTAAAGTTCTATAAAGGGAGAATTTCACCTAAGAAGTACAGTAACTTTATTAACAAGTCAAACTCAAAAAACTCTAAAATTAAAGTGAAATAAAACGTTGAAGTTAAAATGATTCAAAATATCTTTCTTGAATGATTTAAAAGAATTATTAACTTTACTTGTCCAACCTCCAATAGATATTACTTAATTATATATTACCTAACATGTATTAAATTCATCATAACGACTTGTTGAATTATTAATTTTTCTTATTGTGGTAGTCAGATGAAATTATCCCTTCTTTAAATATCATTTTACCTCCCCCAACTTTCTCTTTATATAAATAGTTATCTCTACTAACCCGCGAATAAGTACTGGAATATACCCAAGGCGCTTATTAGTAGTTCCAAATCTAAAAGCTATCTTCTCTTTAAAAGCTCGTCTTCTTCCTTATATACTAAAGAGCATATAGCAGCAAGCACCATTCATCACCACCATGTTCCGACCTCTCAAGGTCTACTTCCTGCCTTTCTTGGCTCAAGGCCACATGATCCCTTTCTGCCAATTTGCTAGGCTCTTCGCTGCACGTGGCTTGCATGTGACCATCATCACCACCCCTGTCAATACCCGGTTCCTTGAAAGCTCCGTAGAAGAAGACAAGGCCCTGGGCCACCATATCCACATTCACACCATCAGATTTCCGTCCGAGGAAGTCGGTCTCCCTGTCGGCATCGAGAACTTCTTCAACGTCACTGATGCTCACACTGCTGATCAATTTTACGAGGCTGCTGGTTTGCTCCGAAATCAAGTTGAACCTTTCATGGAGCGAAACCCGCCGGATTGCATTGTTTCGGATTTTATATACCCATGGACTGCCCCGATAGCAACCCGTTTGGGAATCCCCAGGATTGTGTTCAACTCCTTTTGTCTTTTTGCAGTGTGCATGATAAATGCATACAAGAGACAATCACAGTCCCAACCAGAATTATCTCATGATCATGATCATTCGGGTGGTCCGTTTGTGGTTTCGGGTCTTCCTGAACCGATCACCCTCACGATTCGACCACCGAGGCTGATTTCTGGACAACTCGAAAGCCTGATGGAGGCTGATCAGCAGAATAGCTATGGGCTTATTGTGAACAGCTTCAATGAGATGGACGGTCAAGATTACATTAAATATTACCAGAAAATCACCGATCTCAAGGTTTGGCACATTGGTCCTGCTTCTCTCACGTTACGAAACACTAAACCACAAAAGAATCATCATGACCAAACAAGCAAGGAGCATGAATACATAAGATCATGGCTTGACTCCAAGGATTACAATTCTGTAGTTTACGTAAGCTTTGGCAGTCTGTGTCGTTTCGAGGACCCTCAACTGTTGGAAATAGCGTGTGCGATGGAATCTTCTGGTCATTCCTTCATCTGGGTGGTGCATAGAGAATCCAAAAAGAAGAACCCAAGAGATGAGAAAGATGAAAAGGAACTGTGGTTGCCAGAAGGGTTTGAAGAGAGAATGAAGAAGTACAGCAGAGGGCTGATCCTGATGAAATGGGCCCCGCAGGAGTTGATACTGAATCATCCGGCCACCGGCGGGTTTCTGACGCACTGTGGGTGGACGTCAGTAACGGAGGCCGTCAGCGCTGGGGTTCCGATGATGACGTGGCCGGTGTTCATTGAGCAGTTTTACAATGAGAAGTTGATAACGCAGGTGCACGGGTTTGGACTGGAGGTGGGTGCAGAGGAGTGGAACTCTAGCCCCTGTGAGAGAATGAAGAAGGTAGTGAGTAGGGTGAAGATAGAGAATGCTGTGAGGAGGTTGATGAACGGTGGAGATGAAGCTGAGAAGGTCAGAAACAAAGCCATAGAAATGAAAGACAAAGCTCGAAAAGCTGTGGAAGAAAATGGGTCTTCACAGAGGAATTTGACAGCCTTGATTGAAGATCTGAAGCTTACTGCAATGAATCGGGCTGCTTCAAAACACCAGACATAGACGCTGAGTGATTGCTTAAGCTTCAAGACTCAAGAGCACGTGCATAATTATTCTGCTTCCTTTGTTTTTGGATTATTTCGGCCTGAACAATTTACCTGGAAGACACCCTTAATTAATATGTATGTTTTTTGTTTTGCTGAATAAGTCAAGGGGTGGGTCATATTTCGTGCTTTTCTTCCAGCTGTTATATATTGGTATTTGCGGGGTTTCTTAGGGATTTGCTTTTCTAATGGTGTCATTGTATTTGCCCATTTATATTGAACCCATTACTTTGATTTTCTTTCCCTTCACCTTGTCAAATTCTTAGAGAGCTTTTCTCCTCCATTTTTTCTTTCTTTGCTTTTATTTTTCCATTAAGCTTTGGCAAAAGCTCTTTAGACCACCGTTTGAAAAAGCTCTGTTGCCACATCATATCATTTAATTGAAGATTTAAAACATTTTTTAGAAATTTAAATCTAGATATAAAATCGACATTTATATATATATATATATATATGCACTTGAAACATATAAATTCTATTCAAAGCAACTATAAAAAAAAAACCACTTTTTTCAATATCATTTCAACCAAATCCTGCCATTGCCTAGAACCCGTAATTTGTTCCAATTCATTTTAATAAATATTTAGCATTATCAGATTTTGGTGAAGAATTCATTGTTACATATGTATATATTTGGCCTAAATGGATATATTTTATCATATTATATTCAAAGTTGATGCATTAATTTTGTTGTTAAGATTTAATTAAAGGGTAAAATGTAGATTTTGGACAAATAAGAAGGAGGCAAGGTAAATGTGAATTTCCCAGAACAAAATTTAAGCAACAGTAGAAAAATGAACCGGGAGGCCCAAATGAAATTGGGCTTTAGCTCCTACAAACCTAGAAGAACAGGGCATTCGGAGCTCGTGACAGGCTAAAGCTAAACGCGAATCGATGGGACGGAAATGGGAGAGAAGAAGCGATCCGTGTGGTGATTGTTCATGTCGGCGAAGCACATAACGGCGAACAGGACGGACAAGAGCAACGGCATGCACGGCGGAGACGCTTTTGACGCCTAGTCGTCGGCGATCGAAGAGGTCCTAGCGCTGCGGCTGAAGGAGAAGGGGCTCGGAAGTGGGGTCCACATCGACGCTCTGCAACGGCAGTTGCGGCTCGTCTTACGGTCTCAGTTCTTATTTGGGCCCTCTATTTGGGCCTTTCATTTTGATTTGGGCTTTACTGCTAATATGAGCCCAGTTATAAACTCGAGAGGTGCCACCTAGCTGCTCGAAAATGTGAGGTGAGGAGTGTAGAGGAGAGGAGAGGAGAGGAGGGCTGGTTGACTTGGGAAAGTGTGGTCTGGGGAGGAGGAGATTTGGACGATTTGGAGGGAAGCCGGATAATTTTGCTTCGTCATGACCAATATACCCATGGTCTATTTTGATAATCCAAAATTACCCTCTTCCCAGCAAAACCTAAATGCATCATTTCTGTCGATTGCACAGGCCGCTGTCTCTTACTTCCTCTGTTCGTCTTGCCCCAGAGAAGCTCCACCACCGTCATTGCTGCGCCAATCGGCGCCGTCGCCGTCGCCGTTATCTGCAGCGTCCAACAGCGCCGCCGCTGACCTCTGTTTCTCCACCGCAGGTTTCGCCGTTACCTCTGCTTCTCCATCTACGTCGTTTCCCCTTTTTTTCCCTGATTTTTCTGCTTCTCCTATGTTGCATCTCCCTTTTATTTTTCTACGTTTTTCTCCGTCTTTCTTTTACTTTTCGACGCTGTTCCCCTCCGTATTTGAGTGCTCTGATCTGCTTCCTATTCGTCCTTTCCAATTTGCCATTTCCAAACAAGCAGATTTTTTTTTGTTATTTACTTAGCCTAAAAATCACTTTGTGCGGAAGTTAGTTTGCTTATGATTGTCGATTAATTGATTTGTTTTGCTAATTTTTTTCAGCGCCCTGTTTGTTGTACTCCATGCAATGCTGAACGTGAAGCTCGTTTTGTGCCACATTGATTGAATATTTTGTAGATTTAGAACATTGAAACCCACTTATGCATTTACTACTTCATCCTTTTTTTCATTGGCAAGTGTAAGGCACTCGACAGTTGTATGCTTTCTTGTGATCAATTTTAGACCTTTGAAATTGGCTTCGTTCTCAGTACCACTCTAGGGTTTTTCAAAAACCAGCTCTGAAGATATGCTTTTTTTAACTTTTTGGGACTTCATCCTTCTGCTTGTTTGATGTGCTAATGTATGCAAGCTGGAAGTCACCGAGCTTCTGAATTTGAGATTTGTTCTTGTCTGAGACCAATAAAGTGCTTTTGTGTTTCTTCTTCATTTTTCTTCAATATTTTATTTTTTGGTTATGATGTTTTATTTGTCCAATGGTTACAGCGGGTGGATAATTCATGGAATGAAAGATGTGGCTCGTGAAAACCCTAATTGACATGTGGGCTTGAATATGAACCATGGAGAAAGAGCTGCAGGTGATGACTTTGGGCGAGCAGTGTCAAAGGTGGTGGTTGCGCAGATATGCGAAAGCACTGGATTTCACAGCATCAAAGAGTCTGCCTTGGAGGCTTTTGCTGACATTACGATCCGATATCTCTTTGACTTGGGTAAGATGGCAGAGTTCTATGCTAACTTAGCTGGTAGATCAGAATGTAATGTGTTTGATTTGATTCGAGCGCTGGAAGATTTAGAAGCAACTCAAGGGTTTTCTGGTGCATCTGAGCCTAGTCAATGTCTTGCTGGCTCTAGCACAGTAAGGGATATTATTCATATAGTTGGTTCAGGGGATGAGATTCCATTAGCTCAGCCAATACCACAATTTCCAGTGATTAAGGACCGAAGTGCCATCCCGAGCTTCATGCAAATGGGCGAGACACCGCCTTCCAAGCATATACCTGCTTGGCTGCCTGCTTTCCCTGATCCCCACACTTACATTCACACACCCATGTGGAATGAGAGGGCCACAGGTCCTCGAGAAGATAAGATTGAGCAAGCAAGGCAGCGGAGGAAGGCTGAAAGGTCTTTGTTGAGTTTGCAGCAGCGGCTGCTATGCAAGAGTTCAGCAGACACACTGACATTGAATATACGAGGTGGTGCTGCCCAAGATCCAGAATCAGTTATAAAGAATCCATTCCTTCAGACTCCTATGGCATCAGGGGATGGAGAAGTTTCTCCCATTATCTTACCCTCAAAGCTTTCAGATGAAATTGCTGGTGCAAATCATGTTTCTGTGCTAGACGCATTTGCTCCTGCAATTGAGGTAGTGAAGAGTGGTATGACTGATGGGCAGGAAGACAAAACAGTTCTTCCTGGGGTTAGGCCTACTGTTCATTTCAAGTTCAGGATTGGGAAGAAGCTTATTGGTGAGTCTTTGGATTCTAGACAACAGAAGAAGAATACTGAGCAAGAGCAGATGACATCTTTAACTGGCCGAGAAGAAGAGAGAGATGAAAAAAAGAGGAGAGCCGAGTATATTCTCAAACAGTCCATGGAAAATCCACAAGAGCTCACTCTTCTGTAGATTAGTTTATAGACTGGCTTGCTTGATGAGAGTCCAGGGGCTGAACGAGTTAACATAAGCTAGCATAACCAGTGGGCTTCGCTTCCTCTATGCTCGTGAATGAATGTCTTCTATCTTCTGGTGAGGATTTTATAACAATGTGACAGTGACTTACCTGTAGAACATTCTAAACAAGCATTTAGGGCAGTTAATTTGTTTCTTGCAGTTTAGCAATGATTTGGTTGTAGATCTTGTATTTATACATGAGGGCCTTCTGTTTACATCTTGTATTTAAACGGTTAATTGAATTACTGAATTCATTTACTGAATGCTGTTTTGACTTGTGATTATTTTTTTTAAAGGAAAACATAACTTTCGGTCTCTGTGCTTTGCTTGCGTTTTGCTATTGATTCTTGCACCTTTTTTTCTGATGTTTTTGGTCCCTGTTCTTATGTTTTTTATTGTTTTAGGCCCCTCCAATGAAAAACAAAAGTACAGGAACCAATAACACTGGAAAAAATGTACATAGATCAATAACAAAATATGAGCAAAGTTCAGAAATTTAAAGTTATGTTTTTCTTTTTTCTTTTTAATTATAATGTAATGGTGTCTGTTGCCCTTGCACAATTTTTCCACCATGCGTATCAATTGTAAAACGAAAATCTTGAAGTGCCAAAATTTTGAGGTTTTATGCAGTAGATAAATTTTAGTGGTTTTTAGGAAATGAAAAGAGAGTCAGCTTTGTCTTTTTAACAAACATAAGACGTGGTTGCTGAGAAAGCTTGATCTAAGTTTTGAAACAAAATGTTGCTCTCTCAAATCTTCATTCTTAGTTTGTGCATTCTCCTTAGACTGAGAAAATCTAATTTTATTTATTCATCTTGTTTTTTTCTTTTCTTTGTTTGTTTGTCTGTTTTTGGAAGATTTGAGACGAAATAGGTTGGAAAAATAATCCCTGTTGAACAAGCCGTATCTTTATTATAGAAACTGTATAATTAGCTGAAACATCAAAGCCATTAATCAACAAGTAGAAAAGAAGTCTGGTTCTTGAGATTAATTGCACGAATTGCACGGTATCATTTAGATCAAGGAAAAAGGAAAGCAGTACACCTATGATACAACCTATAAAAGTATAACAGAAATATAGCATCTGCATTACAACCTACGCTTACCCTTGAGCAGTACAAAACCATCAGCCGATGCCTCTCTTATTCTCTGCCTCGGTATTCGTGCCATGAAGGTTCTGCATAATTGATTCTAGAGAAGATGGTGGCTTGCTCAGCCATCCTTGCCGTACCATACTCATTGTCTGTGCTGCAATCCAATCTGTGATATTATTGTCCTTCCTTAAAACTAACGCTAACTTGCATCCCTCAATGGACCTCCATAGCTCAAAGCACTGCAGCAAAACATAGAACATTTCCAACAACAACCTTGCCCATCCAACTGCTTCATTCTTCTATATAGTTCCTGACAGTCAATCTCAATCTTCACTGAACAAATCCTTCAACCAGAAAGCCTCTAGCCATAGATTCAGACTTAAAGAACCCTTTGCAATCTGTACCTACCAAACCAATTGTTGCTTTCGTATCAGAGCCCTTTCCCTTCTCACATCTAAGCTTGTCTCTTCTGATTTTTCATAGTTGCCCAGAATTCCATCGCCATACCTTTACTTCAACTTAAACTCTTTCAAAGATAAAACTGCACCTAGCTGTCCAGATACACCAACATAATGCAGCAACACAGCGGATCATGCATCAACCAAACTTACATTCACGGTGCACAAAATCAAGGTCACATCCATTATTCCTCCCACATGAGAGATCTGAAGAATTATTCACTCTTCTAATCTAATTGTTTGGAAATATTCCAAACAATGTTCTGGACATTGATAAACTTGCTTGCACAACTTTTTTCTCATTTTGCCAAGGTATTGAAAAGTGGATTAGTCAAAGCACTGGTTTAAGAATCAATAATTAAAATAGTAGTCAAACTGTGATCAAACTTATTATAAACAAAGCATTTTATTAAAACAGTCAAAACATTAATTTAATAGCTTATCAATTCAATCAAGCGGTTTATCCCTAATTTTCATACTATGCATTTTGGTTTCCATAACTCCATAGATCACCAGGAAGTCAATGTGAAAAGGTTGGTTACATAATTAGGAAAACTAATTGATATTTTTAAAATTACCTCATTTTTCCAAAAGTACCTTTCATTAAATATTCTATTCTCTCACATGCTCTTAATTAGTTAAAAGCATTTTTCAAGGGCATTTTTGGAATATGTATCCATTACTGCCCCTCAATTTTATAAATGGTAAACCTTGTCTGAATTGTCTTATAAAAAGGAACAAAAGAAGTATATTCTAACCATCTCCTAGACAGGTGCCACTGAAAGGAAAGTAAAGAAAGCTTTGTTCAAACCACAAAGGACATGCAATGTTTTACTCAGATGGATGGATAAGTTGCTTTCATTTTATGCATCCACGTAATATACATAGTCAAGCTCATTAGATCATGTGTATGGTCAAAGTGAACGCTAAATTTTCATAAACGGTTAAAATAATAATGTCAAAATAACAAAGATAAGTAGGCAGCACAGAAATATTAGCATGAAGTTACAATAGAAAAATGCGAAATCTCTTACATAGGTGATGTGAGAAATAGCAGAGTGGCATGTAAAGATGGCCAATTGCACAATCCAGGTTGTCAGGTAAAGAAACAATCCTGCATGCATCCGAAAACACAATCTATTGATTATGATACAAGTAATTTCATAGCTAAGAATATTGGCAGCAGATTCAAAAAAAAAAAAAATTTATCATATTATGAAGTTCTGTCAGTATCACTTATGAGTACAGCACCAACAGAAAACATGTTTTCCAAAGAGAACACTTTGACAACGGATAATCGTATTGAAGTAAAGAGGTGAAGGAACAATCATGCATCCAAGCAACTATCTAGCAAAAGATGTTGTCAGAAAATCATTATAGTATGAAGTTCTGTCACTTGAGTGCCAGCAAACCACAATTAAGGAGAGCAACGAGTTTACTAAAAAGAACATTCCTTTTTCAACGGGTAAACATATTGAAGTAACCATACATCCCTCACATAATATTTTATCACCGACTGTCACTTGCATCAGCCGTTGATGAATTAAAGCAACTAATTGTATGAAAGTCATAATTAACCCTCACATGACGAGTATTATAAGCCCTATACCAGGAAGCCTTACATTTAAATGAGATTTATAAGTTTATGGAACTCTTCATCTCAATAGGATATAGTCTTTTGGAATGAGTTTTTCATTTAAACATGTACCCATAGCATTGCCTTTTCAATTGAGGGGCTGATCTCATCGAGAGGGTTACTTGGAGTCTCATGACTAGTAGGAGGAGGTTGAGTGAAGGGGAACCCCAACAATGAGGCAGAAATTAATAAACAGTCAATTGTTGTATTGCTTAATGGAATAATAAACAGTAGAAACTAAAAGAATGAAGCTTCATGGTTCAACTTTTAGCCTTCGAATCTGATATGTTTCTCATGTGAAGGAACAGTTTTCAGCAGATCGATCAAACCTGGTTTTCAGCATCTTACAAGCAGATCGTAAATGAATATTTCACTGAAGGATTCTTAAATGAGTATGCTCCGACAGCAAGTTAAGTGTAAATATGATGATTCAGTCTGATTTTCCATCCTTAGAAGCTCCAAATTATCCATTTTATACCAGTAACTACATCAGCATGCTAGGAAACCATGGATTAGCTGGCCTAGATGAAAGAGGGAGAGAATCAGAATGGAATAAACGGAAAATTATCATAAATTGAAAATGGTTTCTTTTATAAAAAGGGAGCTTCCATAGTAGATCGTTGATGATAATTTCTGTACTTCAGATTTCTTGTCAGAAGTTCTTCAGATACAGATTGTTCCATCGCAGCGCATATCTTGTATTAAGCTATCAAACATGGGAGGCCCCCAGAAACCAGATATCCTTCTTGCTGAGAATCTTTCTACATTTAAAGAGAAAGTTTCAAATTGTTTGGAGCTTGCAAAAGAATTATCATCAGGATTTGATATCTTTGCTGAGATTCCTCTCACTCTCATAAAGTTCTAGCATTAATTGATGGTATGACTTGCTTCTGTTATGCTTGCATGGCTGGTTTTCTTTCTTTCTTTCTTTCTTTTTTCTTTTTCTTTGTTTTTTTTTTAATTACAAGTGCAAGCACTAACAGCTTACGGTTATAGGTAGAATCCACAACCTTTCACTTACAAGCAGTTGCAAAGTCTGAACTCTGCCACTTATGCAGTTATTAACTGATATAGAAAAAGTAGCAAAACCATGTTGAAATTACTAATACTTTTATTTTAAAGATAATGAAATATAATAATTTTATTGAAATTACGGAAGGCGTGGGATTATTTTCTATAATAATTTCAATGTCTATAAATTACTGATACTTTTATTTTAAAGATAATAAACTAGCAAAGCCATGGTGTTCCAGTAGCATTGGTTGTCCACTTGAGATGTTTGCTGTTGCATATTATTATTGCATGTACAAGAGATTATCCAATATTTTGCCAAGTTGTAAATACATTGAAATACGTCATAACGATAAGATTGTGTTATCTAACTTATCTTCCTAAATCTAAATCTATAGACAAAGCTCCATAGTCCATAGTGCTGGGCAACGCATTCTGAGAATCAAACTATGATAATAGTGGTTGTATCCTTTCGGCTTCTGCTACAATATTTCTGAGTGAATTTTTCCCCCTAAAACTAATTGAGAATAATAAGTACTAAAAGTATTTCAATCTTTGAGGATATATAGTTCGAATACCAATACCATAATGGTTTTCCATCAGTGGTTGAATCGTAGAGGCTCTATATTCTGTTTGAATATTAAAGAAGTCATTTTTCTACCAATCACAAAGTAAAATTAAGGGAGAATTTCAAATAGGATGTGACTTAACTACTAACGAATCTTAAAAAAGTTTAAAATTTTAGTTCGATCCAGGGGATAAAAGTAAAAATAATTTCAATCGTCAAAAGATTAAAATATTAGTTACTTATTATGTAGAATAATTAGTTTTTAATTTTCTTACTTTAATTATTAATTTACCAATATCAGTTGTAAATTACATCCGTTTGTCAAATAAGCAGTAACATTAGTTGTTAATTTGCTAATTTTATTTGTTAATCTACTAACATCAGTTGTAAATTATAAGATCTGTCAGTAATTTATAATTAATATTAATAAATTATAAGATCTTCAGTAATTTACAACTAATGTTGGAAAATTAACAAGTAAAATTAACAATTTAAT